ACAGTTCAAGAATGTAAATAATGTTATAGCAGTTATTTACTCTTTCCTGGTGTACAAGCTTTCATATAAAATAGTGTAGAAAGTTTCTAAATGCCAAAGCAAATACACGACTAAAGAACCTTAAAAGCTAAAATGAAACGATTAAGAAATTAAATCGCGCACTTCTTAAGTTTTTACTTAATATCTATATAATCACCTAATTTTTAACCAAGATTTTATGCCTTAAAAGTCTACGCTTAATAACTATATCTTTCTCGTATACTTGATCAAATTTACTCCTAACATCTATATGATGTATATACATTTAATGAAGATTTCATAAAACAAAAATTTTCTCTCAATATCAGCATATCCCTAATATAAAACCAAAGTTTCATGCGTCGGAAAGTACACTAAAAGGTATCATCATTAATTGCACTGGTGATAAACCAGATCATAGAGTTCCAAAATTTGTAGAAATTAATACTATGTTAGATCAGTACACATAGATAATCCACATAGCTCTACTCTAAGCAGATAAAATTACTGGAAAGTCGAGGAAGAACCTTTAATATAATCTTAAGCTGCCAGCTTATTACGTACTTTTTGTAGCATTCCAACTTCTGTACAATCAGCATAGCAATAGGATCTATTATACTTACTCATATTCAAATTATTAATAGTAATAACATTTTACAGCGGACAATCTATAATTAAATATGGTAACAGCTACAGTGTTCACTTAGATATTATTTCTACTATGTCAAAGGATGATTAACTAGCCCTATCTTAATATGTGAGTAACGTATCCACCTTTACCTTTAGCATCAATAGCAATTCGAAACGATAATATATATAATCATCTACATTCTAACATAGAATCTTTAATTACAGTTTATGGTTATGAATTACTAACCTTGCCTTTAGATAAATATAGAAATCTATGCTACGGTCCATCTATCACACTCAGGCTGTCTTAAATAAGAGACAGTCCTTAATATTGTTAACTTAAGCCCTCAAAGCGCCCTTAATTTAAGAGAATGATTTTTCCTTCCGCGACAGAAGCATTTATAATTGAGAAGATTTAGAGTTTTTAATCGCATGAGGGGATATAATACTTACAATGAAAATCAATTTTTTTAGCTGTATAGTCCGAAACAAACGTTTTAATATGCATAATTTGATGTTGCAGCTTAAAGGTAAGAGGTATGTTATTTTGCTAGAATATGGTTTGCCTTTTCACATATCAATATTATGTAAATTTTAGATAACAGCAAAGTAGCAAACTAGGCATTATTATCTTACTTTTAATATTAGCTCACTTCAGCTTAATTGAGGGGAATTGTTCCATTTACGTTAAATGATAAATGTAACTTTCAAAATACTATAGATTAATAGAGTCGAAAGAACTATTATAAGTGTTATAGCTTCTATAACAGCTATAGCAAGTTGATTCATAGTGTTGAATGAATCTATAATTACTGATCCGATGGTGGAACTCAATACTGTGAACTAGCAAAAGGATATTCTTTAATATGCAGCTTAGTTAACTTACTCTCGAGCTTAGAATAAAGGTAAGAATCAGCTCTACCCGTGCAGCAATCCGTGTATGTAATTAGTATGTTTCATAACAACATTTCTAAGGGGTTACAAAGCTCGAAATATCTCGCTCTTGATTCGTAATAATATCCAACAAGGTACATTTTTAATAGATTTATAAAATGAAAAAGAAATTGATTATTCTCGTACATTATAACACTTATTACAGTGAAATCTGGTGATTCAAATTCATGGTTGACTAGATTTTGAACTGATTCTTTACCGTGTATTCCAGTTGAAATAAGATGGAATAAAGTTTAGACTATCATTTTAAACTATTCACGTAGATATTATATTCGAAATAATGTTATGCAGATAAATTACTTGTACTTTTGTAAAAAGGGGAAAATACTGATACTGATAAACCCATAAAGCACTTTTTATGACGTATTATACGAACGTTAATACGAACTTTACAGTCTCTAACATCAGCGTAGTGGATAGAAAAATTAAACTATAATTGCGAATAATTGTAAAATTATTATTTAGTATTGCGAGTTCATGAATTTATATATAGGAAATCTGTAGTCGTTTGGTTATTGTATCTTCCCAATTCACTGTAAGAATTTCTTGATTAAAAGGTCTACATCCCCAAAGACATCATTTAAGGTCACTGTTAAACTATGACCACCATAATAAATTTTAGCTCCGATAGAATGAATATGCTTTAAACAGATGAGATTGACCCAGTCCATAACTACACAATGAAACTAATTAACTCTTAAGAATATTAATGACCAATCAATTTCCTTCAATATATTTCTACATGAAACGAATCTTATAAAAATAGAAAATATTCAATCAACATAATAGTAGAACTTTTATAATCGGGATGTATGCAATTAAAGTGTAAAAGTTCTTTCAGAGCTGACGTCAATTGATTAAATAATTGTAAACGAATATAGAGCTCAGAAATTGTTGCAATCTGATAAAATTACTTCTACTTATTTGCTTTATAGTTCAGTAATTGTATAAGGCATATTCAAATAAAATAGATCGCTTGAAGGACGTAAGGCATTAACTATTGTAAGTATAATAAGAGCTAGATAGGATCGCTACAGCTAGTTACACCTTAAGTCTATATAATACTACTACGTGATATTAACGTAATTTAAGAGTGTATTTTCCGTTAAACCCTAACTGATCGCTAGCCTTAATTATTGATATTTATTGTTGTTATATAATGAACTCAATATCTGTATCTAGTGACTAAGTCATGCCGTCGAAAGAGTACCTAATTCGAAAATTTTGGTGCAAACTCGGATCAACAGCTTTTCTATAGTACAGCAGTGGTACAGTATTATTGAATAATTTCAAGCAATATTGTACTGAACTTATAATTAAATATCGTGAACATATTTATATGCACGTATCGGCAAGCATTGATCATAATTTATATCATACAAATGTATATTTCTATAAATACTATAGATATGGAATACTTTATAAAGAATCCAGCAAAAATCGGTGATGAAGTAATTGACCTTTGATAATATAAAATTAATTGATCAAAGTTCAGAACACCTTATTATGTAAATTTTTCTTTACTATTGTTGACTAATAAAGTGAATCTGCAGATAATTACCGGTAGGCACCTATGATATTAAATAATAGCATGAGTAATCTATAAGACAGTATTTACTTCAAAAAGTTTTTTCAATGAAATAAAATTTTTTTCCGACATTTCAAAGGCTAAGGTTTTTATTAAATTCAAATTAAATAAATGGAAATACTCGTAGTCATAAAACCTGATATATGGTGAGCTTAGTGATAATAGTAGATTATTTAATAACGTTTAAATAGTACAGTGTGAGCGACACTTATACTAATAAGTGTTGATGAAGAGTTCATCTATCATTGCTTTGTTTACGACGCTTAACTCTAAGGCAAAATGTTAGAATCAGTAGCAAATTCTAATTTTAACTTATTACCTGACTCGCTATCATTATAATATTAAGATGGACAAAACATTTCTCTATTATTATTATTGTAAATTGTATAATGAAGAAATGGATTGAATATTTAAAATCAATTTATAATGCAATAAAACGTCATGGCAATAGGGAACATGAAAGAAACAGGAAATCCTACGTGGAGCGGTACCTTGAAGGTACGTGCTGTTTTATACAATTGCATGAATTTAGAATGCTTAATTGTCCTTAAAATGATTTCACAATTAAAATTACGGTATTATATTAAATTAAACAAGTTGATTGAATATCCATACGCATATAGTATTAATCAATAAGTGTTATGCCTAAAATATTATTACTTTTAAACAGTCCTAGTTTACAGTTATAACAATAGTACAAGGTCCATCAATCAGTATCAAATCATAATATGAATATCATTTGAAATAGAAAGTTTTTTTTCTCGATGAAACTTAATCGAAGCCTGCTCTGAATTGTATTTATTTTATAATTATGATCATAAATGCTAGTTATCATCTTATAGAATGCGAAATTTAGCATTCAGTATTTCAAACATGAGTTTAAAATACAAAATGACATACTGAAGCAAAGTAATTGTAGCGTAAAGAATAGAAATGATTCAATCCTGCCATATGAATTAAATTTTCTTGATTGATATGACTAATGAATTATTAAATAAACTCGTGTATGTTGGTATCACATCACAATTATAATAAAATGTTGACTGTAAACAGTTAAAGAAGAAAAAGAAAAAGGATATGCTGAACAGTGATATTTTTAGCATTACAAACCTTCAGTAATAATCACCTGTAATAAAGTGATAAGATCGGTGTTAAAATTGTAGGGTAGCATTTGATCAAGATAATGCATTTATTAAAGTTAACTTCAGTTATCTAATTAGATATGCGAACTAGTGCTGAAATGTATCTAAAATTTACAATTTTTAAATAAAGTATCCAATTCCTGCATAGAATTATCATTAATGCGAATAACCAATACATTAATAATATTAATTTATACCAGTAATTGGTTTTAGAAGTTTCTTTGAGAAATATCATTGGGTGCAACGATGATAATTATCATTACAGTATACCGCATTCACTGACGTTTTTAATCAGGCTATTAAACTGATCGAAGGATGTTCTAATTGCTAAATCAAAATTGCATTTACACTGACCATTATGTAGATAGTAATCAGTCGTCTTGAACTTTAAGCAGTTTTAATCGATAAAAGATATTAATCCCAAAACACCATTTATTAGCCAAATTGTAGCTATCTAGGTATAGATCATTATTATGGGGTTATATCTGTAAAATCCATCGGAAACTGACTACCTGGAAGCTAAAACTATTTTATTAATCATCTAATGCACCAGCTATTGGTTATATTTACTGATCATTTACCAGTATATATCGGTAGTTAGTGGCTATATAATGATTTACAGGAGACTAAGCTGTCTGCTGTGTTATCATCATACTGATATCACGCAATTAAACTACTGTTTCATAGCTTGATTGGAGAAGACTGCAGATATCATCACCATTTTCATCATTATAGTAATTTCCATTATTATGGTCTCCGTGAGGGGTTGCAATTTTGCCATTATGGCATTTTTCTGTCGCCATAGGAGAATCAAAATATAACTTAGTGAACTGATGATTGGATACTGAAACATCTATAGCAGGATTGCCTGGAATATTAGAACCGCTACTACTTTCATTTAATGTTTGACGTAAAGATGTATTTGTTTTAGATACTTTGCCATGATTTGAAAGTAACTCTGCTTTACTGGTCTTATTGTCGAGTTGACGAACACAAGCATCTCTGCTATTTTGTGATTTGCTTTTTAAATGAGATGATCTATCTTTTTGACAAAGGTACCGATTATCTCGTTTGATTTTATAACGTCTTATGAGTAGTGTAACTTCATTGCGGAAGGATCGATTTAAATAGGTATAGAGAATTGGATTGATAATAGAACTTGCATAAATTCCAACAAATTCACACCAATATTGTACCTGCAGGAATAGATCTGGATCAGTATAATTATGAGCGGCAATGCGGATGATATTGGTAGCATCTCGTGGTAGTTTACAAACTATAAAAACACCAATAATTACACCAATGACCTTAGCAGCTTTGCAAGCATTCACTCGTTGGGTAACATTATCGGATGCATGATTTAGTTGATTATTTGATTTTTGCCTTGCGATGCAATAAATTCTGAAGTAAAATAAGCAAATAAACAGAAACGGCAAGGCGAAACGAAAGATGGTTATAAAATAATTCCAAGGAATTAAAAGTGCCGCCTTTTCCTCTTTGACTTTGGGCACACAATATTTATACTCCCAGTGGTATAATCCAACAATAAATGGCATAAAACCGATGAAAAACGATAAAAACCATATCAAGCCAACGATAATAAAAATAGTTGGTTTACCATTTATGAGCACATTTTGATAGAAAAAAGGAGCTGAAATACTGATAAATTGTGTTGCTGCAATAGCACAAATGTGTAAGTTCATATTGAGAGGCATAACATTAGGAAGGACAAATAGCATAATGATACAATAAATGTTACTTGAAGGATTTAGTTGGATTCGACTTGAAATATCGATAGCTTTATAAGTAACATAAGGTATCGTGTAAAAGTATGAATAACATAAATGGCTCAGAAACATGCTGGCCATAATAACATTGGCTACAACACGCAGCTTTCTTCGGGTTAGTATTAAGACCAACACTGAAGTATTAACGATAATATTTATTAGAGCTAATATCGAGCTAACAATTAAGATTGGTAGTGTCTTATTAATTAACTCCTGGTCAGTTGTTATACCACTGGCTCGCTTCTGTATAATACCTTGAGGGTTAGAAAGAGTGTCTGTAGCCGTTGAATTGCTAGGAAAGGTATGTTTCCAACTTGAACTGGTAGTAGCTAAATCGCTAATTAAAGCTGATGCTGCCATGACTTTAATCCACTAGCCGGGAAAAAAGTAATTGATAGAAAATTGCTGGATGTTACAGTCTAATTTTTAAATCAAATAATCGATTTTCTTGCACGCTTATCAAAAACTTAGTATAAGCTAAAGCAATTTACGCTAGTTTAGGCTGTTTTATGTGTATAATCGAAGTAATAATAACCTAAGAGAAAATCGAAAATTGAAATAGTAGCAGAAAGAAGGATCTTTTAGTCAGATTCTGGTATCTGCAGTGACAATATCGACTTCTTTGAGAATATTTCTTTTTATTTCAAGGCCAGTATCGTGATGGTAATTTCTTCGAGTCACTCACAAGATAGAAAGCTGTTGCTCGATCAAATTATTCTATTTCGTAATTCTAAATTGATAGTAGGAAGAGAAGTAATAAATATAAAATATCAGTTATCAATTTTTCAAGGAAGCTGACAGTTTCATCTATTAAATAGAAAAAATGTCATATTCAGTAGTATTAAACAATTTGACCCAGAATAGATAACAGAATGGAGTTCGTTATTATTTTATAATTCCGATAATAAATTCAATTATACAATCAATTGGATGGCTTGATAATCTTCTTTCTTTTATTTCTTGTAACAATATATGTCAATAAATTATTTTACGACACTTATTGATATCCTTTCCTAAAAAAGTGCTACCTAAACTAAGCATATTGCCAAAGTATCTTTATGTTTCGAATAATAATATTGAAGGTAGCCTTAAGGTTTGAATCAATATATATAAAATTTATATTATTTTAGGCTATTAAAATTATTTTAAGCATTTAGCCACCAGATGGAAATACGGAAGGGAAAATTACTACCCCGGCCTAAGAGAATTAACACGTATTAATATTCCTTTACTCACTGGGTGACATCCAGCATCAAATGCCATAGATGCACATTACTACGATCTTATCCTCTTTATAGAGGAACCCCTAAATTCTGTATTTCAGGTAAATTTTTCAGTAGTTAATGGAAATGATAATATAAAGTGCTTCTTAGAATATTGTTTTCAACTATAATCGGCAGCTGCAAGGTATTAAATTTTAATTATAGCTTCGGAAATGCTTTCAGAAGGATTATTGATTAATTTTTTATACATAATCTTTAGCATCAATATTTCGGAGTTAATATGATCTATCTATATCGTGTATACTTATACCTCAATAGAGGAAGTTAATTTTAATCAGAGCTATCGTAAATGACAATAACAAGAGCATTTCTTTATCTGTTTTCGCAAGTTTATTTCTGGAAGGTCTAAAATGACAAAATTTTTTATTATCTTGATAGTTATATTTACATCTTTATGGTAATCATTAAATATTTTAGTGTACGTAATTAAGACAAGCCTAGATTATGATATATATGGCTTTAACCATAAATTCTTTTGCGTATAGCTAGGTATGAAAAGTAGAATATAACAACGTAATAACACTTATTCAATAATTTATCCAAATTATTGGATACATCTTTTCGTTTGGGTACAACGTTTCCCATTAGCGTTATTAAGTTAGGGTTACCATTATTTTTCATATGTTTCATAAGTTTTTAGATAAACTATTGTTGCTTTTAAAACTGAAATTGTGCATCTGCTAATTTAAGTTGAGTAGATGTAGCGAGCGGATAATGTGTGTATGAGTTTTATGATAAGTCACTATTATCATCTATTCTGTTGGCTTACAAATGTCCATCACAGAACTCGATAATATGTCTGAGAGCAATCATTTCTTATTGATAACTTATTGTTTAGTCTATTCCATAATATTAATATTAAAATAAACATAGTTATAGTACATGGTAATAGAGTAAAGGAGAAATTAAAATTTAAATACTATCTATTACTCTTAGATCCAATTACCATAATAGATTTTCACAATAACTAGTTATATTTTTTACAGCATTTAAAATGAACCTTTATTAAGACGATGGAGTAAGTAAATGTAATTTTAATAAAACATGATCCTGTTGCAGATGAGTTTACTTTATTTGTGACGCTTACTACCTAGCCAATATTGTGACAATAAAGGCTAAAGACAAATTTGAAAGAAGAGTTACTGTATTATGTCATAGTTCATGGTAAAAATGAAGTATAAAAGTAAATTTATTACGAACATAATAGCTTTATAGAATAATTAAAAGGTTACAAATCGAAGTTGAGTGGTAAAGTAGAATACTGCCGTAAACTCAATTTCTCGATCATGCCACCTAAGTGTATATATCAAACAAGTAAGCTCTGAGAGTGACAGTAATAGGTTCAAACAAATCGCCTTTGATTAATCTATTAATCATTGAAATGACTTTATCTTTGAAACCTGTATTAGACATACTACAATTCTTGAATTAAAAATGTCGCAAATGATACGATTACTCAAGCTGTAGTAAAAAATTATTTCGTTGTATTTATGTAAAACGAATATGATACTTAGATGTATTGATCTGAAATTATTTAAAAGTGGTGCTATATTAGGCCCATTTAATAAACTTAAAAGTAATCGAATATAAACAATATCAACATTCGATAGTAATTGATCTGTTATCTTATCTTTAATTCTTAAGCACCTGGTATGATACAGTTTAATCTATAGAAAAATTGACGGATTAAAAATTTTAATTAATTTAGACTTATTGAATGTGCCAGCTGATATACCAAATAGGAACTGTACACTGTGCTGGAACAATATGAATCGATATTCTATTAGATATGCTCTATTAAATATAATGCCTATTGTGCTTGTAACAATAGTACGTTCCAGATTTATAAGGAAATAGTGAGTAATAATGATGAAAGTAATATAGTTTATTTCGGGATGAAAAAAATATTTTCTAACAAATGTTTTAATTCAATTTGCTGCAATTAAATTTTCGATTCCAGTCAATTTAAAATACTTTAAATTCCAGTGTATTACACAAACTTTAAGATACTCGATGATTTAATCAAGATATGGGTAATATATGCATATATAGTAACGAAAGTAAAACACTCTGATCAAGCTACAATATAACGGTTTAGGCTTCAAGTATAACAATGAAAAAAGATTTTGCTATTACAAGAATAAATTATATAGTTTTTAATTTTCAAATATCAGCGTGTTATAGTAATAGTCAAATTTTTAATACTGAAATGACTAACCACTTTATCCCTAAATTAGACGACGTAAATATAGGACAATAAGGGATTAAATATTTAAGACTGATAATTTGTATAAATTTTTCCTGTAACACTCACTAGTATATCGTTTTAGAATTTTCTGTTTGTCTACAATACATCATAAAATTTTAGCCGATATTAGGTTATTCTTCAAACTCATTATAGTCATTAATAATGCACTTTTTCAAAGTAGATACTTATTGTTGTCTTTTATAACTCTATCAATACAATTTGTAATATTTTTCAGAAATTTTGCTTTCAGTTTCAAATAACGAACTATTTATTTATAATGTTATTATTCAGCAAAGAGAAGATATATAATGTTGGATAATGCTGTCAATATGTTCTTAGAAGACATAATATTTGATACAGGACTCAAAAGATAGAGCGATTTAGGGTTAAGAGCCACAATAACTTTATATTGTACTGCGCATGCTATAATATTAGATGCAGCGTTGATAGATAAGTGACACACTTATGCATTGCATAATGAGCAAAATCTTAATGTTAGTCTAAATATGGTCATTATGGAGAGATAAAATTCATTATTAATATTAGTTTTCCTGTATGAACAAATTTTTTTGGTCATTTATCTTCTTTTGTCCTACCGGTGACTAATTGTAGTGCAAGATATATATTGACATTATATTCGTAAAATTGTTAACCTCACAAAAATTTAACTGATATATGCTTTTATATGTTTTTAATCTATTAGTATAGAAATAAATTGTTCATAAATGAGTCTACTCTCTAGTTAGCCTACAATCTATAAATAAGCGTATTCAAAATATTGTTTTTGCTTGATAGAGCTATATTGTATTCTAATGCATAAAAAAGAATTGGGTGTAGAACGATCATAATAAATTCAAGGGAACTACTTTTCAATTTCTACCGGATGTGAAGAGTTTCTATATTAACTTTGCGTAATGGCGCAATAGGTGTAAATAGATTTATACAAGATATCCGAAAATTTTGTTATTCTGAGAATACGAGCCTGAAGGAATAATTTATTTAATTCCAGATGAAAGGCGCGATTGTTATTTCGTAATAACTTTCACCAGTAACTAGTATTTGATAGCTAATCTTTCATATTCGACCCCATTAAATTTTGAATATTAATCAGAAAATAAATTGAATCATTTTTCTGAAGATATGTACAATTTCAATAAAAATGATATTAGAGGACTGTATTTTTCAATTTAAAATAACACTACAGAAAGAAGGTGTGGTTAAAATCTAGAAATGAACTTTTAGTTTTACCTTGCAAGATAATACTTCGGAAATAAAGTAATATTATCGAAGGTAGAATATTCGACAGGTGCGGTTTAAAAACGTCAAACCCCTTTCTACTAGATTAGTGTTCGTTCTAACTGACTACCTAGTACCAGTATACAGCGACTTTGTTTACTGATAATACCGTTTTAATGTACCATCGAAATCTATAGAATAAGATATTTACACAGTTAACGGTATCCAGTAGAAGCAACCTTAATGTACTTTCACGTCTTAAGTGGTACTCCCTAATTATTAATAATTACTGCTGTGTTAGTCTAAGTGTCTCGAATTCAGAACTTAATAATTTCTACTTTACAAATATTGCAGGTGCTTGGATAATTTGATTATGAACGTACGTAGATCATAAGTGCTCTTTCTTGATGTCATCAATTTTTACCCAACAGTGTGCCATATTAGCTTTAATTACCGCCGATAATTTTGTGAATCTTAAATATTTGATGTTGACACTGAAACTTTTAAAAATCAGAAGATAGATATCGAGTACTGTAGCTATTATACTATTATCTGTGTTAATGAATAAAATTTATAAGAACCTCTTAATCTGA